GACATGGTGTTGGTGACAGTGTCAGTGCTGGTGCTGGGATGCCAGTGCTGGTGACAGGATGTTGGTGACAGCGTTGGGGCCGTTGAGGCAGTATCGGTGCCTGTGATGGGGTGATTGTGATGGTGCCAGGGTGTGGGTGCTGGTGATAGGGTGCAAGTGCCCGTGAGAGGGTGATGGTATTGGGGTGTCAGTTCCGGGGTGTCAGTGACAGTGTTGGTGCCGGTGCTGGTGGGGTGTGGCTGAGGTGGGGGGCTGGTGCCAGTGTCACCCTGACAGTGTCCCCCAGCAGGACGGTAACAATGGCGTCGGACGAGCGGCTGGCCCGCTTCCGCCAGGCCCACCTCAACCCCTTCAACAAGACCTCCGAGCAGCCAGAGCGCCCCGACGAAGAATCCCCTGTCCCAGGTGGGTGCTGACTCACTGGGGTGGGCAGCGGGGCCCAGCCCCACCATGGTATCCCCCTATTCCGGAGTGTGCTCAGCCCCCCCATGGTACCCCACTTTGCAGCCCAGCAGCCGGATCCCACCCCAGGGGACCCTGAGGGCGCCCTGGACCTGGGGCTGGCCGAGGACCACTTCTCCCGCCCTGTGGTGAGTGGGGTGGGCACTGTGGGGATGGGGAGGGTTTGGGGGGCTCAGCTCACCCTCCGCCTCCTCTGGTGGTGGCTACAGGGGCTGATCCTGGCATCGGACGTGCCGCAGCTGCGCCGGGCCATTGAGGAGTGCAAGCGGGTGATCCTGGCACTGCCCGAGCACTCGGAGCGGCAGAAGGATGCCGTGGTCCGGCTCATTCACCTCCGCCTCAAGCTACAGGAGCTGAAGGTGGGACTGAGACTGGGCCTGGGGGGGCCTCCATTGCTGGGGGGGCCATGCTGATCCCCCTATCCCTGGAAGTGCTCCAGGCCAGATTGAATGGGGCTTGGAGCAACCTGGTCTAGGGGAAGGTGTCCTTGCCCATGGCACGGGGGGACTGAATGGGCTTTGAGATCCCTTCCAACCTAAACCATTCCACAGTTCTGTGATTCTCTGCCTCCTCCTTTCCACCCTGCAGGACCCCGGCGAGGACGAGCCCAACATCCGTGTGGTCCTGGAACATCGCTTCTACAAGGAGAAGAGCAAGAGCGTCAAGCAGATGTGTGACAAGTGCAGCACCATCATCTGGGGTCTCATCCAGACCTGGTATACCTGCACAGGTGGGTTTGGGACACCCCCTCTGTGTCCCTGTCCCCCCTATCCCTACACTGACATCCTCCCATGCCCCCCAGGCTGCTACTACCGGTGCCACAGCAAGTGCCTGCCGCTGGTGAGCCGGCCATGCGTGCGGGCCCAGGTGAGCCACCGCGCCGAGTACCAGCTCAGCATCTGCCCCGAGAGCGGGCTGGACAGCCAGGACTACCGCTGTGCCGAGTGCCGTGCCCCCATCTCTCTCCGTGAGCCCCCATACCACCAGAGGGGCTGGGGGCTGGATGGGGCTGGGGGGAGCTGGGGGCTCTTGGGGCTGGGGAGTGTGTGGGGTTGGAGAGAACTGGGGGGGCTGGACTGAGCTGGGGGCTCTGTGGGCCTGGGGGGAGCTGGAGGCTCTGTGGGGCTGGGGGCTGAGGGGTTGAGCTGAGGGAGCTGGAGGAGTTGAGGGGAACTAGGGACTCAGGGGGTTGGCTGGGGGTAGCTAGGGGCTCTGTGGGGCTGGGGGGAGCTGGGAGTTGTGTGGGGCTGGGCTCCCTTGGGGGCTCTGTGGAGCTGTGGGGAAGGGGGGGCCAGGGCTGCCTGGGGCTGAGGTGCTGTGGGGTGGGAGGTGTGTGAGGCTAGGGAGAGCTGAAAGTGGGGGCTCTGAGGGCTATGTGGGGCTGGGAGCCATGGGGAGCTGGAGAAGGTGTCATTGTGGCCCCACCATGTCCTTGGGTGCTGGTGAGTGTCCCAGGGGCACACATGGTGTGGGACAAACAGGGAGCAGGGTGGTGCTGGTGCCAGCCCTGTGCCAGCCCTGTGCCACCACAGGGGGGGTGCCCAGTGAGGCTCGACAGTGCGACTACACCGGCCTCTACTACTGCTCCAGCTGCCACTGGAACGACCTGGCTGTGGTGCCCGCCCGTGCCATCCACAACTGGGACTTCGAGCCCCGCAAGGTGCCCCTGGCAGAGGGTGGGGGCACCCCAGGGGGTCATGGGGCCATGGCTCTGGGTAGTGGTTACTTGGGGGGCCACGTCCCTGGTCGTGGGGGTCCCTGGGAGCTGCATCCATGGGTAGAGGTGACTTGGGGGGCTGTGTGCCTTGTCATGGGGGTCCCTGGGGGCCATGTCCCTTGGTAGAGGTCACTTGGGAGGCCACGTCATGGGGACATGTCCTGACTATGGGGGTCCCTGGGTAGAGATCACTTGGGTTGGGCCATGTCCTCAGGGCTGTGTCCCTGCAATGGGTCCCTGCCAGGGGTCCCTGGAGTGGTGGCGGCAGGGCTGGTGGGTGCCAGGGGTGACGGTGCCCCCGTGGTGGTGGCAGGTGTCACGGTGCAGTATGAGGTACCTGGCACTGATGGTGTCACGGCCAGTGCTGAAGCTGCGGGAGATCAACCCACTGCTGTTCAACTACGTGGAGGAGCTGGTAGAGATCCGGGTGAGTGCTGGATCCAAGGGGACACCCCAAGGGGCAGGGGACACCCCACGGGGCTAGGGGTGAAACTGTGGAGGAAGCGTGGGGTGAGCAGGAGGTGGGGGGACCCTGGTGGCTCCTGCTGAGTCCCACAGAGGGAAAGCAAGGTGAGGTGGGGGGTTTGGGGCAGAGGATGCCCAGACTGCTACAGGGATGAACTTGACCCAATTTGGTCTTGTCATGCTCCTATCTCCATCCCGTCCCCATCCCATTCCCAACCCTGTCCCCGTCCTCATCCTGCTCCTGCCACTGCCCTTTTCCCTGTCTTGGTCCTATTCCTGTCCCATCTCTGTCCTCATTCCTGTTCCCATCCCTGTCCCCATTCCAATCCCATCTCTGTCCTCATTCCTGTTCCCATTCTTGTCCCCATTCCTGTACCTATTCCCATCCCATCCCTGTCCCCATTCCCATCCCACTCCCGTCCCAATCCCCATTCCCATCATGTCCCATTCCCACACCATCCCCATCTCATCTTCACCCCATCCCCATCCTGCTCCTGCTGCCACCCTTTTCCTGTCCTTGTCCCATCCCTGTCCACACCCATCCCCATTCCTGTCCCCATTTTCATCCCATTCCCATCCCACCCCATCCTGCCCCGTGCCCCACAGAAGCTGCGCCAGGACATCCTGCTGATGAAGCCCTATTTCATCACCTGCAAGGAGGCAATGGAGGCACGGCTGCTGCTGCAGGTCAGGCCCAAGGGTGCTGGGGGGCCACAGGGGGCCAGGACCAGGTGCATCGGTGACAGTCACACAACGGTGATAGTCACAGTGACCTGTCCTCCGCAGCTGCAGGACCGGCAGCACTTCGTGGAGAATGATGAGATGTACTCACTGCAGGACCTGATCGACATCGAGGCCGGGCGCCTGGGCTGCTCCCTCACCGAGATCCACACACTCTTTGCCAAGCACATCAAGCTGGACTGCGAGGTAAGCCAGTGCCATGGGGCAGAGCCAGGAGACCCCCGTGGGGCTGGTGGGTGACTGGTGGGGTCACCATTGTCTCCTGCTCCCCCAGCGCTGCCAGGCCAAGGGATTCGTGTGTGAACTGTGCCGGGAGGGTGACGTGCTCTTCCCCTTCGACAGCCACACCTCGGTCTGTGCCGACTGCTCTGCCGTGTTCCACAGGTACCAAGACACCAGGGTGGGACAGGGGCACACGGGGGTGGCATGGGGGTGACATGGCACTGTCCCCTCCCCTCCAGGGACTGCTACTATGACAATTCCACCACCTGTCCCCGGTGTGCCCGGCTGAGCCTGCGGAAGCAATCCCTGTTCCAAGACTCTGGCACGGAGGGAGAGCCCTGAGGAGGGTTTGACCTCATGGAGGGGCTCAGCCTCACAGCTGTTCCCCACCCACTACAGGACCCTGGGACAGACACAATCAGCTCCATGCCGGTTTGGGTACGGTGGCCCTGGCTCCGGGCCCCTCTGCCTGTGGGAACGGCAGCGCTGCCAGGGGGCACAGCTGGACCCCAGCTGTTCCTGGGAAAAGGGGGACCCCTGCCGGAGGAGCCGGGATCTGGTTAACTGGGATCCGGTTAAGGCGCCACAGCGGCTCCTGCCGTCCCTGTGTGGAACCGGGGTGCGGGCAGGGATGGGGTGCAGGCAGGGATCGGTGCTCCGTTGTCGCGGGGCAGTGGGTGCTGCCAAGAGGGCTAGCCCCGGGACCGGACAGAGCCCATACACACACACTACTGGGATCCGATCTCCCCCCAGCACCGCCGTTAACGGGGCCGAACCCCAAGGAAGTTGCGGGGCAGGGGGGACCGGGCGCGGCGCGGGGCTGGTGTCTCCCCCTTCCCTCCCGGTGTTTCCTGTAGCATTAACGAGACTCTTTGCGCAACTCAGCATTCGTGTTTCTGCTTCGGGCCGGCGGCGGGGAGCGGAGGGGCTGAAGCTCCCGCGGGGCGGAGCGAACACCGGGACCGACCCCGCACCGGGCCGGTCCCCGGTCCAGCGCCGCCCGGTGGGGTGGAGTTGCGTTGTGTGGCGTTATCGGGGATGTGCCGCGGTCACCGCCAGTCTCTCGCTCACCGGGAGGGGCTGCGGCCGCGCTGTCTCGGCGCCAGCCGACCCCCCCTCCCCCCGCGATGCTCCCGGGGTGTCCCGTGACCCCAACCCCTCCCGTTTGCCCCTCGACCACGGCGCAGACGGGCAGAGGCCGGCGGTGTGTCGGTCGGTCGGTTTTACCGGATCACAGCGCTGCTACATCAGAACCGGGCCGGCACCGGCACCGGCCGCGCTCCTTCGGGCCGGGCTGGGCCGTTCGACCCGTCCCGTCCTGCCCCACCCGCCGCTCCCGGCAACCGGAGCCGTGCCGCCCCCGGGGCCCGGCGGGGCCGAACGGGTTCCCCCCCCGAGGCCGCGGGTGACCGGCTGTGGGCGGCCCCAGTGCCTCCCCCCGCGGGGCTGTGGCCGTCTCTGCCCTCCGGGCGGGCTAACGGGAGTCCTGCGCCCGGGGACGGGCTCCATCGGTACCGACGGGAGCAGCACCGGCGTGTCCCGGTGTCCTCCAGCAGGTCCTGTCCCTACGGCTCCCGCGGGCGCTCGGCGGGCAGGAAGGCGTCCGGGGGTCCCGGGGGTCCCGACGGCAGCTCGGGGTCACTCAGGTGCTTCTTGTCGCGGCCCTGCTCCCGCGCGCGGGTCCAGGAAGGCGAGCGCAGGTACCCGGCCCGCGGCACCGGCGGCGGCTGCAGCCCTGTGGGACGGACGGGGTGGGCGGGCGGTCAGGGACGGGCCGGCACGGGCGGACAGAGCGGGACCGGCGGCCCCGGGCCCCCCGCTCACCGCCGGGAGTCTCTCCGGCCGCGTTCTCCTCGTCGGAGTCGGCGAAGACCTCGGCTAGCTCCTGGTCCGACATGTCCGTCAGCTCCGTCAGGTCCAGCAGGTCGAAGTGCACCTCCAGCGAGGACACGCTGCTCAGGGGCTCTGCGGGGGGGGGGGCTGGAGACCCACCACTATTGCCCACGGGGTGGGCGAGGGATGAAGGAGTCGGGGGTCTGGTGTTTGGGGGCCCAGGGAGCTGAGGGGGTGAGGAGCTTGGTGGGAGCCACAACTGGCTGGGGACTGGCAGGGGACCCCAGGGACAGGAAGGGACCCCAGGGGCTGGCAGAGACCACAGGGACAGGCAGGGACCCCAGGGGCTGGCAGGGGACCTGAGGGGCACGCAGGAGAGCCCAGGGGCTGGCAAAGGATGCCAGAGACAGGCAGGAGATCCCGGGAGCAGGCAGAGAGTGCTGTGGACAGGCAGGGAACCAGGGACAGGCAGAGACCCCAGGGACAGGCAGGGACCCCAGGGGCTGGCAGGGGGTGTCAGGGACAGCATTGTCTCTGGGGACAAGCAGGGACCCCACACAGGGCCACACTCACGTCGACGCTCAGTGACCTGCAGCAGGCCAGCGCTGGGGATAGGGATGCCACCCTGCTCTTCTGGGGGGACTCGAGGGGTCTCCTGGGCTGGCCCGTGGGTGGGGGTCCCCGCTGGGCACTCCAGGGCCAGCGGCTCCTTGCCGAGCTCTGCCACACCAGCACCTGCCATGTTGGTGACCGCAGCTCCCTCGGGGGCCCCCATGGGGTGCCCAGCTGAGGGGCCAGGGGGAGTGGGACCCCCGGGAGGGCCGGGGGGACAGGCAGAGCTGCCCAGGATTCTCATGCCGGCAGCTGGCAGCCCCCACTCCCCGCCCCACGCCCCCTCCCCGCGCAGCCCCTTTGTGTTGGCGAGACAAAGCGCAGCCTGTGCCGGGGCCCGGACAAGGGCGGATTGTGCTGGGATTGTCACCGGGAAGAGCCAGTGGGGACAAGGCGGCCGTGGCCGTGGCACATGGTCATGGCACAGGGTCATGGCACACAGTGGTAGCACAGCCCGTGGTTGTGGCACAAGGTGTGGCACAGTAGTGCCTTGGGGCTCAGTGGGCACTAAAGTCAGGAGGAGCCTGTGCGCCCAGGGCAGCACCGGGGGACACACCACCCTGTCCTCTGTTTCCCCCCGAGGTCAGTGCTGGCTCCCTGGCACCATGTGCCACCACTGGGCCATGCTACCACCGGCCATGGTGCAGGGTGACACGGCACAGGGACGGGCATTGTCTCCCTCTCCCCAGGATTCTGACAGCGGGGCAGGGACAGAGCCCCCCAGCCCGACAGAAAAAGGGACGTTATGGGGTGTTGGGTTCCTGCTCCTGGCACATGGAGCTGCGGGAGACCGGCAGAACAACAGACCCTGCTCCAACACCAGCTCTGCCACATCCTGACCCCCAGGGTGGGACTGCGCACCCCGTGTTGCTGGCACCTTCTCTCCAGCTGGGAAACTGGGTCCCCACCCCACCCCAGGGCTGGGAAGACTGCTCCCGGGGGGACACGGGGGCTGGCCGCTCCTACCACCCTAGCCCACGCGGTGCCCAGCCTCGGTGTCACAGTAAGGAGCACAGCTCCCCTGATCCCCACTACGCCTCCACCCACCAGGGCGCTGGTCCCGGCCGCGGAATTCCCCTCTGGCCTCTGCCTGCATGGTCCCGCTGCGCCACCGGCCGTGCCACCGGCCGTGCCACCGGCCACACCACCCGCTCCGGCCTGGGCTCACCGGCTGCCTGGAGGGAGCGAGGATGGATCAAGGATCTCTCCCGCACACCGTGTGCTGACTCACGGCAACCGCAGAGCCGGGCAGCCACCGGTACTAGCACCCCATGGCACCGGGCACCCCACAGAACCTGCGGCCTGTCCCAGTGGCGCTGTCCCCCCAAGTCCTGGTGCCCCCAGTGCTCCCGGTGCCACAGCCGGGGCTGCCCCACGCCGGCAGCCACGGCACAGCCATGTGCAGGGCACAGGCACAGGCGGGAGGGACGGGGGTGCAAGGGAGCCCTGGCACCGCCTCTGTCACCAGGTGCAGCCCCCCCACGAACACCGGGGCCCTCCCCAGCTCCACTGGCATGGCTACCTCCCTGTCCCTGAGCACCTCTGCACACAGGCACTAGCACAGCTGTGTGGGGTGTCTGCCGGGCACCCCACTGCTGCCCATGTCCCCTGGGTACCCCACTGCTACCCCATGTCCTGTGAGCACCCTACTGCACCCTCAAGTCCTGTGAGCACCCCACTGCACCCCCACACCTCCGGGCTCCCCACTGCACCCCCACACCTCCGGGCTCCCCACTGCTCTTCTACACCCCTGGCATCCCACTGTCCCCCCACATTACCTGGGCACCTCATTGCAACCCCAGGTCCCCAGTGCACCCCATTACTCCGTCTGACCTTCTGGACACTCTACCACACCTCCTGGGTACCCCACTGCACCCACGGGCACCCCACTGCACCCCTATATCCTGTGAGCATTCTAGTGCCCCTCATGTCCCCAGGGCAGTCCAGTGCTCCCTCAGACCCCCTGGACAGCACCTTGTATTCTGAGTACCCCTCTGTTCCCCCCCCCCATCCCAGATTCTCCATGCACAGACCCCCGTGTCCCGCCCAGGCCCCCCCACCCCACAGCCCCCCACCCCTGCAGCCGGGCACCCTCAGCACGGCCCCATGCTCCCATATGCCCCCCCAATGCCCCCCCCCCGGCACCCCCTCCCCTTGCACTCTCTCTCTTGCACTCCCGCCCTACATCTCCTTGTGCTCCCCCCGCACGCCCCGCGGGGCCCGGCCCGGTTCCACGGTGATGGGCGCTCCGGTCCGTGCCGCCTCCCCAGGCCCCCACCCTCACCTGCGGTGGCGGCCGCTGCCGGAGCCGCCATGGGCCGGGTCCGGAGCCGGTGCCGGTGCCGGTGCTGGGCGGGGCGGGCCCGGTGCCAGCCCGCAGCCCGCACGGTCCTGTCCGCCGCGGAGGGGGCGGGGACACCGGGGCGGGGACACCGGGATGGGCGGGGACACCGGGATGAGCAGGAGGCAGGAGGGGGACAGGGGAGGGCGCGGGGGGGACCCGGGAGAGCGGGGGGGCACAGGGGACCAGGTGTGCCGCGGGAATCCCCAGGGTGCGGGAGCGGAGCCGGGGGACTCCAGCCGCAGGGGCAGCCCGGGGCGCGGAGATGGGCGCAGGGGTGGACAGGACTGTGCCGGGCACAGCGGGACCCCCCCGATCCGCCCGGTCCCCCTGATTCCCCCGAACTCCCCTGATTCCCCCCGGTGCCCCCGGTGTCCCCTCGATCCCGCCCCGGATCCCCCACCGGCCCCGCCCCCGTTGCCAGGGCGGAGCGTGGCGTTGCTAGGGGGCGTGTCCGTTCGCAGCGCAACTCTCGCGAGATTTCACTTTCCTCTCGCGACACCTGCCTGACCGTTGCCGGGAGACCGCGGCGCCAGCGGCCGCCGCCATGGTGAGAGCGGGCCTGGGCTCGGGCCTGGGGGAAAGAACCAGGGCGGCTGCTGAAGGGTCCCCTGGAGCCGGGGGTGCGGACAGGGGGGGAGCAGTGGGGCCCGGCCTGCCCCGGTCGGGCTTGGCCCGAGCCCCGAGGGCTGGGGGCCCCGGCCCGCTCTGCTCCCGGGGAGGGTACAGAGCCCCTCGGCGCCGTTCCCAGCGCTGCTGACGCTTCTGAGCTATTACTTTGGGTACAGGTGTTTTGTGGACCTGAGCCGGCAGCGGTGTCACATGAACCACGGAGGTTCTGGGTGGTCCCGGAGGCTTCCAGCCTCCTCGCGGGGCCTCCGGCTCCGTGTCACTGCTCTGGCCCCGTTCCTGCCGTGAGAGCAGGGGTGCTCCGGAGCTGGCACGGTGGACCTGAGCAGCACGGCTTCCCTCTCACCCAGTCACCTCCTGCGTTTGGCTTCTCAGGCACCCAAAAAGAAAGGATCGACTAAAGGGAAAGGTCCGGCAGTGGTGGATGCCTTGGACCTGGAGGACATGAGCAAGGAGCAGGTGAGAGATTCCCCAGGCCACCAAGAACAGCTATTGGAACCCCTATGTGGCGCCTGGCCTGACTCTGGGGGCAACAGGTGGCAGAGGGTGACAGAGACGAGCAGCCGGGGTTTGTGTCACTGCCTGATGCCTGTCTGGGCTGGGGAGGAGCGTTCTTGCTGTTCCTGGAAAGAGCAGCCACCTCATCCCACCCTCCGCTCTCCTGCCCTGTGTGCTGAGCACTGCTGAGGCACATCCAGTCCTGGGGTCAGTTCTGGGCCACTCACGGCAAGAAAGAGGGACTGGAGCGTGTCCAGGATAGGGAACAGAGCTGGGGAAGGGTCTGGAACACCAGGAGTGGCTGAGGCGGGCTCAGCCTGGAGAAAAGGAGGCTCGGGGGGGACCTTCTCGCTGTCTGCAACTCCCTGACAGGAGAGTGGAGCCAGGTGGGAGTCACGTTCTGCTCCCAGGGAACAAGGGACAGGACCAAAAGAAACAGACTCAAGTTGCACCAGGGCAGGTTTAGGTTGAATATTGGGAAAAATTCTTCATGGAAAGGGCTGTCCAGACCTGGCACAGCTGCCCAGTGCTGTGGTGGAGTCCCCATCCCTGGGAGGATTTAAGAGTCATGTAGATGTGGCGCTTGGGTACATGGTTTAGTGGTGCCCTTGGCAGTGCTGGGGGAATGGTTGGACTTAATCTTAGAGGCTTTTCCAACTCAAACAATTCCATGATCCAGGAGTATTTAGACACCTGAGAATGGTGTTACTGGATACTGCGAGCCAGAACCCTGTCGCAGGCTGCTGGAAGTGGGATGAGGTTTTGTGATTCCTTTTCCAGAGGCTGTTGGGTTCAGTCAGGGACCTCCCCTGCTCTATCCCAATGACAACCATCATGTCCTGCCGGGTTTGGGACATGGAGTTTCCAGAGGCACGTATCCGAGGCCTCCCCTCTGCCTTACCTGTTTCTTCTTCTCGGCTGTGCAGCTGCTGCAGCATGTCCAGCGTCTCCGGGAGGAGCTGGACCGGGAGCGGCAGGAGCGGAATTCTTTCCAGCTGGAGTGTAACAGGATTCAGAGCTGCTGGGACATCACTCGCCGGGAGCTGGAGGAGAAGAAAGCGGAGCTGCGGAGCCGGGACCGGGAGATGGAGGAGGCAGAGGAGCGGCACCAAGTGGAGATCAAGGTGGGGGAGAAGGGCTCCATGTGAGCCTTGAGCAGCTCTGAGGAGGAGAAGAAGGGGAAGAGGAAGAGAATGTCTTGCCAGCATCCCGGCTTCAGGTGTCTCTTCACCCAGTCTCTGGCCTGTCCTTAGGTGTACAAACAGAAGGTGAAGCACCTGTTGCATGAGCAGCAGGAGACCCTGACAGAGCTGAAGGCAGAGGGAATCCTGTCCCTGAAGCGGGCCCAGAAGGATCACTGGGACCAGGAGCAGGAGCTGTGGAAAGAAAAGCGTTCCTTGAACATCAAATTGAAGGAGCAGGAGTTGGCCAATGAGGCAGCAGTGACAAACCTCTGCCTGGTACGTCCCTGACCAGGCTGGAGCCACCTGTGAGGCACCTCAGCCACAGGGTGGGAGCAGGGGCAGGATCCTGCCTCCCTGGCTCGCTCCATGGGGTGGGGTTTCTGGTCCAGGAATGGGGAGGAGGGATTCCTGGATGACCCCTCTCCTGCAGCAGGGAGTTGTGAGAGCAGCTGGAGAACCTCCAAGCCACTGTTTGCACCAACACTGGGATCAGAATCCTTTCCCAGGGAGCAGGAGGAAATCCCTGGGGATGGGCTGACTCACAATTTGGTTCTCTCCTCTAAGATGGAGCTTCTCCCTTACAGAAACACGAGGAGGAGATGGCCCGGCTGCGTAGCGACTTTGAGGCACAGGCCAAAGGTCAGAGGAGAGGCAGAACCTGCAGGAGCAGGATGGGGAGAGTTGCTCTGGGCTCCTGAGCAGCACCTCGAGCGCATGTGGACTGGGGGTTCCCTCCAATTCTGGCAATTTTTTCTGTCCTAGTTCTGACTGTTTTTTCCCCTCAGTTCTGGCCAGTTTTCCCTCAAGTTCCAGCTGTTTTTCCCAGTCACTTCTGTCCAGTTTCCTCCCCAAATCTGTCCAGTTTGCCCTCCAGTTCTGGCTGTTTTTTCTCCCCTCCCCATTTTGGTCACTTTTCTTCCCCAGTTCCAGCCAGTTTTCCCCCAGCTCTGGCCATTTCCCCTCCCTGGTTCCCTGTGCTGTGGCAGTGCCAGCCCTTCTCCTGTGGGGTGGGATGGCTGGAGGAGCCTTTGCTGTGTCTTCACTCCAGTGTCCTCCTCAGAGGACATTTCAGGTTGTGACAGGCTCACTTGGGACTTTTCCATGCCCTCTTTCCAAGGATGTCATTCCTGGGCTCAGCCCTCCCCGGGCCCCACAAGAGTCTCGATGCCGATGTGGGAGCTGCGGCATGGGGTCTGCAGGAGGCCCCCCCTCACCCATCCCCCCTGTGCTCCCCAGAGATGGATGCCAAGTACAACAGGAAGATGCAGGCGCTGCGGGAGGAGATGGACCTGCGGAGGAAGACAGAGATCCATGAGCTGGAGGAGAGGAAGAACCAGCAGATCAGCGAGTTGATGGGGAAACACGAGGGAGCTTTCGGTGACATCAAGAACTACTACAATGATATCACTGCCAAAAACATGTCACTCATCAGCCTCCTGAAGGTACTGCCTATCCCTGTACCACCCCTCCACCCAGGGACCACTCCTGCCAGGGTGTCACCTGGATTTGGCAGTTCCCAGGTGTTGATGTGGTTGCTGCTGGTGGGCTGAACATCGTCACATGAGCAGGGAGGGTGTCCTGAGGGGGGGGGGGGGGTCTCGGAGGGGCTGGGCAGCTCTCAGGAGCCAGCACTCGTGTTCCTAAGAACAGGAGCAGGTGGAGGAGATGAGAAAGAAGGAGATTGTCTTGGAAAAGGAGAAGACAGATGTGCTGCTGCAGAACAAGGAGCTGACAGAGCCACTGCAACAGGCCCAGGAGCAGGTGGCTGAGCTGCAGAAGAAGTTGGCTCGCTATGATAAGGACAAGGAGATCCTGATGGTGCGTGGCCAGCCCAATCTTTTCCTGGGCTCGTTCCTGGAGGGAAAGCAGTGGCCTCTGCCACTCAGTGTGCTGGGATTGCTGGGCAAAGTGAATCCCATTCCGCTTAGCTGCGTGTTTGTGGGATCTCAGATGGGGATCCAGAGAGAGATCAGAGTAGCCCTCGCTGCAGAGAGGTTGGTGTGGGGTTGGCCTGGTTTTCTCTGCTGCTCACTCTCCTCCCTTCCTAGAACACATCCCCAACAGTTCCCAGACAATCACGTGCTTCTTAATGCTCCCTTCCTGCTCACAGAACTCCAAAGCTCGTCTGAAAGTCACCCAGAAGGAACTGAAGGACCTTCAGTGGGAACACGAGGTGCTGGAGCAGCGGTTCAGTAAGGTGAGAGCTGCAGGCAGGGCTGGACATCCCTTTCCCTCTCCAAACCCTCTACAGAGGACAGGGTGTGGGGGCTTAGCAGAGCCTGTGCTTAGCCAAGGGCTTTCCAAAGCTAATCCCGAGCCGGGCGATAACCGCTGCTCCCAACAAAGCTGCTCCCAGCTCCAGCCTCTCCCACGGTCAGCAGACAGGCCTGGCCTTGTACTTTGCTAAGCAATCGTGCACGCTCCAGTGGGCCCCCCGGGCTACCGGGGGCTGCGTGGGGCAGAGCTGGGAGGGATTGCCACGGGCCTCTCTTGCCTTCGTTCCAGGGTTGCTCCCCTGCTGGTCGGGGCGTGGTGGCTTGGGATGAGCCCTGCAGAGTGAGTTCTCCCCCCCACTAACCCAGATAAATCTGTTGAGGCAGGAGAGAGCTCATTTGCAATTCGTAGAAATCCCCAGGAATATGAACATTGATCCGAGGCCTCGTTAACAATCCATCATTAAGACAGCGCCAGATTCAGAGCGTTCAGAAATAGACTTTGGAGGAGAGGCTTTGTCCCAATTAGGACACTTATTAACTAGCTGTGAGCCAGGGATTGCTGCCAGCTGTAGGGAGGAGAGACCCCCCCTTTGCCAGGGGGCCCTTGCTGGAGTCTGAATTAATGCCAAAGGGAGCCTGTTCTGGTGTCCCTTGCCTTGAGGGGAGGAGGAGGAGGAAGGAGAAGCACAGGTGCTGCACCATGGAGGGAGGAAGCTGTGCTGCAGCACCTGCCTTCGCTGTGGGTTGCAGGTGCTGTGGGGAATGGCTGGGCTGAGCTGCCAGACCAGTTTGCTGCCTCGTTTGTGCTCCACACCATTAAGCAGACCCCAGTCAGGCTCCTGCAGGCCCCTCTGTGCCCCCTGAGTTCTTGAGGGTGGTGTGACACCATGCTGTGCCATCTCCTGGAGCAGGTCCAGGCAGAGCGAGATGAGCTCTACCAGAAGTTCACCAAAGCCATTAATGAGGTGCAGCAGAAGACGGGGTTTAAGAACCTGCTCCTGGAGCGGAAACTGCAGGGACTCCTCAGCCTCCTGGAGCAGAAGGAGGTGGAGCTCAGCGAGGTTGTTGCAGTCTCCAACCTTGACCCCAGCGCCCTGTCCTTGGTCTCGCACAAGCTGAAGGTACTGGGGACTGGCGAGGGCAGGTTTTGGGGGGCAGAGCCTGCTGTGGAGTGCCCACAGCCCCCAGAATGTGCCAGTCCCTTTCCTGTGTGGCTGCAGCTGCCGTGTCACTCCATACTGGCACTCCCAGGGCCATGTGCAGTGCCGCGGGGCACTCGGCTCTGCCTCTGGAGTGGAGTGTGTGGGTGTCAGAGTTTGGCACTGATCTGTCCCTAGATGGGGCCTGTTTGGAGGAGCATGGCCCCAGGCCCTGCGGCACTGCCAACACCCCATGCTGCCACACAGCTGACTGCTGGTGGGTCCGGTGGCTCCCGAGGGCTCTGTGCACAGGGGTTGCACCCAGTGAACCTCATCTGGCCACAAGGGACAGTGCAGACAGGATCCCGGGGCTCTGCGGCATCTGCCATGCTAAAAATACGTCTGCAAAGAGCCCAGAGACCCACATTCCTGCAGCCTACCGCAGCCAGAGCTGGGGAGCAGCGCTGGCTGTGGGTCGGGCACAGACATGGAATGACAGCTCCACTGCCTCGGTGCCCTCCCGCTTGTCCCCATGCAGGTCCCCACTGTGAGGGGTGGCAGGAAAGCTCTGGAGTGCCCTGGGAATGGGTAGCATGGCCGTGGGACGGGCAGCAGATGTGTCACCTCCCAGCAGGTGGAAGGAAAACACATTCCTGGGATGGCGTTATGGCGTCGGGCTCTCCCGCAGCTGCTGGGGTCCCCGAATTCCTCTGCTCAGCTGCCTTGGGGAGCCTGGCTCCCTGTAATTCCCTCGGTGCCGTGGTGGCAGGGTGGTGCTGCCGTAACAGGTGCTGCAGAGCAGACCGGGATGGCTGTGGTGTTGATCCAGAAGGTCCCTGTCCCTGCCTGGAGCTGGCTGTCCCTGGCAGTGCCAGTTGGAGGGGGCAGGGTGGTGGCCACCTGCCAGGCTGTGCTGCTGGATGCTCTGCTGGCGCTGCAGCTCCTCCGTGTGCTGTGCCACACTGCTCCCGCCTGCAGCATGGCCACCATGTCCCTGGGGCTGGACAGCATGGCCTCACACCTATCTCCTTCCACAGGATGTGCTCCACTCCAAGAATGACACCATTCAGGACCTGCAGCTCCAGCTGGCCCGAGTCTGCAAGGTGAGGTTGGGAAGGAATCCTGGAGGGATTTAAAAGCTGTGTGGATGTGGCACTTGGGCTTGTGGGTTAGTGGTGGCCTTGGTAGTGCCGGGGGAATGGTTGGACTTAGAGGCCTTTTCCAACCCAAACGACTCTGTGATTCCATGTCTGTGGTATGGGGGATGGAAATAGGACCAGGGGGTACAGGAAGCCCCTGCCCTGGGGTGTGGAGGGCTGACGGGGACCCTCCTCTTACAGGCACACAATGACATGCTGCAGACCTTTGAGGCGAAGCTGACGGCCTTCGGCATCCCCCTGGACAACCTGGGCTTCCAGCCACTGGCCTTCCCCCTGCCAGGGCAGGAGCTGGGGCAGGGCCCCGCCGGACTTGTTTCAGTGCCCACCTGACACTGGCCAGCACTGAGGGTCCCACTGGCACACTGGAAGTGGGGCTGTGCCCTGTTCCTGCTCTGTGCCATTAAACAGACCCCAGTGAACATCTTTGGGACCCTCTCCTCTCCAGGGGGACCATGATGCAGCTGGAGGGCTCTCGGCATCCCACCAACCACACCGGGCTGCCCCTGGGGCTCCCTCCTTCACTCCCCAACCAGGTGATTTTTTGAGACAAATGGTGGTGTTTGGAGCCTTTAATGGCATTAGTGGCATTGTTCCTGCATCCCTGAGGGGAGGCTGTGCCCCCCTAACTGCCCCGGTACGTTGTGTAGGAGTAGGGGCTGATCAGCAGTGGGACATGAAGCTTCTGTGCTGGATCAGTAATGGTGAAGATGACCTGAGGGAGAGCAAGGAGGCAGTGGTGGGGATCCCCCTCCCAGAGCCGGGCCCAGGGGGTTACAGCCCCCCCAAGCCCGACCATGGCCCCAGACCTGCCCCAGGCTCCCCACGCTCCGTACCTCCACATAGGGGTAGAAGGTGGTGTGCCCCAGCCCCTGCCAATACGGTGCTGTCTCAAAGCGCAGCTTGTAGGTGCCGGCCTTGGCCTGTCCCGCTGCCAGGAGGGGCCGGCAGCGCCCATCCGTGTCCGTGTACCTGAAACCAGACCGAGCCAGCCCTGCTGTATCCCCAGAACCTGCCCTGATCATACCCCTGAGCACTGGCCCTGCTGCTGGCAGCCCCCAGGCGAAGGCTGGGCAGCCGGTTGTGCCAGGAGCCTTCAAACAAGCTCACGGGGACCAGCAGCAGCATTCCTGTCCCAATCCAGTGTCACCAGCTCTCCTACCTTTGTGCCAGCTCCCTCCACTGTGGCCCTGGCTCCACCAGCTGGTCCAGGCGGATGACAAGGCCAGCTGCCGGCAGCCCCGTGACTGTGTTCAGCACGTGGGTGGTCAGGGAGCCGTTTCCCGCATCGGACATGCTGTCAGCCTGCAGCAGAGGGGGAAGGGGGCCTGGGACCTGTCCTGGCAGCACAGTGTGCCTTCCCTTTGGCTGTGCCATAGCCCAGCCCCTACACCCTGCTGTGCCCCACAGCTGGGATATGGGCCCCCACCTCCTTCCCATGCCACAGGACTCAGCCCCAGGCACCGCAACCACCATAGTGTGGGTGCTGGCTGGTTCCTGCTGGGATGCAGGGCTCTGTGCCTGCAGCAGCACCACGCTCCCTGCTCACTTGCCTGTCCTGGTGGGCCAAAGCATGGCGGCAGCAGCCAGCCTGGACCCAACAAGGAAGTAGCCCCGTCCCAGCAGCCCCATCCCTGCCCACAGTGTCACGTGCGGGTGGACATTGACCCCAGACAGCTCTCTGGAGCTGTCTGGGGTCAAGGTCAGAGCAGTTGGGGCAGCTGGGCCCCTTCCTCTGCTGGAGCTCCCAGGCTGGAGTGGGACCACAACTCAGGGCTGCGTCCCAGCAGCCAGCACAGTCAGGCAGCCTCCCTGGAACCGGACCAGCTCCCGCTGCCAGCCCAACACCGGCACCGGCTGACACGAAGAGGCATCCCAGCGAGCTTACCTGGCTGTCCTCGGTCCCACTCAGCCAGGGGCCTGTGGCCGGTGACACTGCGCAAAACGCCATCCCTGGCCCTGGCCGCCCTTCCTGGCGCCACAGCCTCTCCCCACAGAGCTGGTGTGGCTGGATGCCGCTATCCTGGCACAAGGCTCCCGCAGAACTGGGTGCTCCTCCCTGGCTGGGCTGAGCCGGCACGGGCAGCTTCCCACTGGGAGCTGTGCCCAGGAGCCCCACTGGCACCCACTCTGCAGCCCTAGGGCTGGTGGCCCAGAGCCCGGCGGGAAGATGGGGTGCCGGGCCAGGAGAAGCCGCTGTGGAGCTGCCATTCCAGCCTCACCTCCCACCATGGAAAGCACCTGGAGCACGTTGGCGGTGCGGCAGCCGGGTGTGTGGGGCTGCTGAGAGCCAGCACCGGCTTCACCGCAGCCTCACCCTCCCCGTCTGGGCTGGGTGGGCAGCGGGGGGGCTCAATATCTCACCTGCACTGTGATGCGGGCTGTGGTGGTGGCTTGCAGCCCGTGTCCCCCCATGTCGGCTGCCTGAATCTCCAGCGTATATTCAGGGACCACCTGCAGTGAGAGGCTGTGTCACACCTGAACTGGGAGTGGGCACTGGGTGGGGGCCAAGCCCAGGACTCACCTCTGCCACTAGCCCTGGCACGGCCACAGAGATCAGCCCGGAGCTGCTGTCTATGGTGAACATGCGGGGCTGGGGCTGCTCCGGTGCCTGGCTCAGGATGGAATAGACCACGACTCCGTTGTTGGAGCTTACAGCATCGTCTGCATCAGTGGCCAGCACCCGCAGCACTGGCGTGCCTGGAGTAGGTGGTTGTTGGTGAGCTGTCCCCACATCCCCTCAGCACTGCCTCTCAGGCAGTGATGGTGGTCCCACCTGGCTCAGCTCCCTCTGGCACAGAGCCATGGAAAGCTGCCTGGGAGAAGATGGGTGGGTTGTCATTTCGGTCAGTGATGGTGATGATGATCTCCATGGGGTCCTCCACAGCCTGCCCGTTGGCTGACACAGCATGGGCATAGAGCTGTAAGAACACAGTCAGCCTGTGTGCAGCCCTCAGGACTGTCCCCCCCGCTGCAGGTCCCACTCACTCACTATGTATTTATCCTTCTCCTCACGGTCCAGAGGCTTCGTCACCTCCAGCCACCCTGTCTCCCGTTCGATGATGAAGATGCCCATAGGGATAGCGTCCACTCCTTGTCCTGTGATGCTGTAGAAAACCTTGGTCTCCTTGTCCTTGTTGGATTTGATCTGGCAGTGAGATGAGAAGATGGGGTTGAGAAGGGTTCTGGTGCTCTCCCATTCCCACACCCTGTCCCCTCAGGGCCATGTACCTGCACCAGCTTCTTGGGGAAGGGCCCCCGGTCGTTCTCAGGGCAGTTGATAGGGGGAATGACCCAGTCCCTCTTCTGCCGCCGGAGGCCGTGTCTGTGCTCTGGGAAGGTCAGCATGTCCCACGGGATGGAGAGTGAGGCTGCAGGACTATGGAGGAACATGGCTCTGCCCCGGGGCTCCGGGGTGGCTGTACAGTGCCCCTGGCCCCATTGGGATGGTCCCACCAGGAGGAGGAGGAGGAGGAGGAGGAGGGTGAAGGTACAGCATGACATGGCTGCAGCTGCACTGGCTGCTCCCCCGGGTGCCAGCTGGGGACCTTCCCTGTGGCGTCAGTGACCTTGGCTGCGTCCTGCCAGGAAAGCAGTGCTGGCTTTCCAGTGCTGCCAGCGCCGGCAGGGGGAGCCTTATATGGGGGCCCAGTGCATGAGATGCTGCTCCAGGCTGGGGGGGATAAAGGAGCCCAGGAACCCCCCAGGGCACTGTCCCTCGGGGGCCACAGGACCCCCCCCTACTCCAGCAGGGTTGGAGTGCAGACATGGTCCCCCCCGGGGGTCCCAGTGCAGGCCTGGGGGTCCTGTGCAGCCATAGGCAGCAGAGGGGGAGGAGGCACCGGGATTAGCAGGAGGAGATCGGGGGTGGGGTGGGGTGTGGGGTGTGTTACTGCGGGGAGTGGTGGGGGGAGGTCAAAGGTTCCGGGGTTCATGGGGGCACCTGGAGGGACGCACGGTGGTAACAGGAAGGTACTCAGAGATACCAGGATGCCCGGGCGTGCCCACGGGGCAGTGCAGAGGGGCTGAGGGAAGCAGCGGTGAGGGGCTGGGGGCACCGGGGGGTAGCATGAAGAGACAGGGGGTTTCTTGACAGGTACCGGGCAGTGCCTGAGGGTTGTTTGGGTCTACCGGGGGTTTCCAGGAGGATACCGATGAGTGCCCCAGAGGTGCCGGGGGTAACGGCGGGTGACCGGGGGTTAACGGCGGGTGACCGGGGGTTAACGGGGCGGGGGGGTATCGCGGATTGTTCAGGGTTGCCGAGAGCTTCCAAGAGGCTACCAAGTGGTGCCCGAGGGTTCCCGGGAGATGCTGAGGGTGCCTGGGTGGTACCGAAGGTTGCCGGGGGGTCTCAGGGGAGTACCAGCCAGTGCCCGAGGGGTATCGGGGGGTGCCCGGGATAAAGGAGGGTACCGGGGATTGCCAGGGACTTCCAGGGGGTATCGGCGATGCCCGGGTGGTACCGGAGGTTGCCGGAAGGGTGCCCGGGTGATAACGGGGAGTGCCATGTGGTATCAGGGGTTGCCAGAGGTTTCCAGAGAGGTACTGGCATGTAACGGGGATTGCTAGTGGTGGCGGGGAGGTAACGGGGGGTACCCGGAGGGTCCCAGGAATAATGGAGGGGTCCCGGGAATTGCCGGGGGATGCCCGGAGGGTGCTGGGGCTGGTCTCCGGGGCGGGGCGGGGCGGTACCTGCGCGGCCACCGCCTCACCTGGGCGGGACGGGGCGGGACGCGGCGGGCGGCGGCCGGAGCGGCGGCGGCGGCAGAAGCAGCGGACGGGCCATGCGGGGGCCGCGCTCCGGGCTCTGCCCGCTCTCCATCTTCATCCTTTTCCTCCTCCCCCCGCTCTTGCCGGCAGCCGCCCCCTCCCCGGCCCCGCCGTGCGCCCCCCCGGGGCTGCGCCGCGAGCTGTTCCCCACACCAGGTAACTCACACCGTCGGGGCGCGGCGGCACCGGGACCCCCGGGGCTACCCGAGGACGGGCTGGAGCCCCGATCGGGGCCGGGATCAGGGCTACGGGCACTGTGGGGGCGGCAGGGCCCCCCTTGCTGCCGGGATCGGGTCCACTTTGCCCCCGGCCGTGGGGCCGCTGCTTTTCGCGGGGACCTCGCACTGCCCCGGCTGTGGGATTGGTGGGAGAACCCGGTGTGGGACTGGCGGGGGTCCCTGGGTGTGGGACTCCGCCATGGGGCCGGCTGGGCTCCTGCGCTCTAGGGCTGTGGCCCCCCTGGCCGTGGGGCTCACTATAGGGCAATGCCCCCCTCCTCGGTCTGTGGGACTTGGCCATGGGGCTGGCAGTGCCCTGTGGGACTGGTGATGCCTGTCTGGCCCCACGGGGCTGGTGGCGGCGATGCCGGTGCCTCTGGCCCAGCCGTGGGGCACCCGCCGGCAGCAGGGCTGGGTCTCTGCAGGGTGGGTGCCCAGCGCCGCGCTGGCCATCGGGATGGCCTCGGGGCCACCCTTCTCCGGCCATGGCGTGCGGGGTCCAGCTGGCCCGAGGCCGGGCAGGGGCCCGAGCTGGCATGGGGACTCAGGGCTGGGTAGGGGCCGAAGCTGGGCAGAGTCTCGCTGCCAACTCTTGGCCCGGTGCTGGCGCTTGGCCTGGGCCTGTTGCCCTCTTCGCTTGGAGGCTCCTGGGGGATTGGGGCTGCCGGGGAACGCAGCCGGAGCCAGCGCTCGGCTAATGGCCGGGGGGGCACTAAAAGCTCTCCGTGGCGGTAAGTGCCAGGGAGAGGCCTCGACCTCCGCTACCACATCCCGCTTCTCATCTCACTTCCATCGACTGAGCCTGCCAGGAATGGAGCTGGGCACTGCCAGGCCTCCGCCGCGGGCAGGGTCCGGGGTCTGGCCATGCCACTGCGACCCCCCTCCGTGGGCAGCACATGGCCCCGGCACCGACCGTATGGCTCCGCCTCGGCACCCAGCGGGCACGGTGCCATGTGGGCTCTGCAAGGAGGGACCCCGGGGGCACGGTGGGGTTACCCCCTGTGCCGCCCGGCCCTTCGGTGGGGAGAAGTGACGTGTGGCACAGATGGAGACTGAGGGCTCCCCGGGGCTGGGGGCTTCCCCGGGCTCCTTGTTCCCCAGACCTGTTTCCCAGGGTGAGTGAGATCCCTCCAGCGTCCATCGCGGCTGGGAGGGGCCCCGGCGCTGCCCTCGGGGCTCGGCCGCTGCGCCCCCCGGCTCGCTGCCTGCCCGGTGTGGGGCAGCCTTGGAGCACAGCTCTCCCTGCCTCATTCCATGCTTCCCGCAGCCCCCTCAGTCCCGCTCCCCGGCCCCCCCGGGCCGCTCGGCCGCCCAGAGCTGGCTCAGCTCCGCTAATCCCCTAATCCTGGCCCCGGGGGGGTGCGGAGTCAGGGCCATTTCCAGCACGGGGGATGCAGCGTGGGAGGGGGGGGAGGGAGATTCAGAGCCCAATGTCCTGGCCACGGGGGGTTGGGAGCCCCTAGGGGGGTGACACAGCACCGGGAGGGGGCTGGGGCAGGGCTCTGCCCGCCCAGGAATTTCCCATCTGTGAAACAAAGCCGAAACTTCCACCGAAACTTCCACTGCACTCCCGTACGGCTCCCGGTGTCCCTTACCCCGTTTCCACTGTCCCCTGCCCCCTCCCACTGTCCCTGCCCCATTCTGCCTCGGGACTCTGGGGGATTGCGGGTCCTGGAGCTGGTGGTTGCTGCCTGGGCATGCTGGGGGACAGGTCCCCTCCCAGCCTCCTCACCCTCCACCCTCGCAGGGAGCTCCAGAGGCTGCACGGGGCCGTGCGGGACCGAGGAGTGCGATGTTGGGGTGCAGAAGGACACGGGCCCCATGCAACTGCCGAGGGTGGGCAGAGCACTCGCCATACCCCTCCCAGATGCTGATTCCTCCTGGGATGCCGCCGGCCAGCCGGATCCTGTTCCAGTTCCCATGCAGAGCAGGCGCTCCCCCCAGGTAATCCTGCCCTGTTGTGTTCCCCATCCCCTGCCCCCCTAGCCAGCTGTGTCCTCACTCATCCCGATCCCACAGGAGCTCCCCAGGACTCACGCCGCTCTCAGGAGGCAGAAGAGAGACTGGGTGATCCCCCCCATCAAGGTTCCTGAAAACGAGAGGGGCCCCTTCCCCAAAAAACTGGTTCAGGTAAGAGGGGGTTGATCTGAGCTGGAGGTCTGGGCACAGAGGTGGGTGCTGGGATATCCATCCCTGCTACATTGGGGCAGGGTGTGATGTGGTGGGGGGTACTGACCCCCTCCCCATGTGTCCTCCCAGATCAAATCCAACCGGGACAGAGACACCAAGATCTTCTACAGCATCACAGGGCAGGGAGCGGATGCCCCCCCCGAGGGCATCTTCACCATTGAGAAGGAGTCAGGCTGGATGAAGGTGACGCAGCCGCTGGACCGTGAGCACATCGACAAGTACCACGTAGGTCCCTGCTGGGGTGCACTGGGGGGTGTCAGAGTACCATGCCAGATCCCCTACTCACCCCCCTGCCCCACAGCTCTTCTCCCACGCCGTGTCTGAGAACGGGAAGCCAGTGGAGGAGCCGATGGAGATCATTGTGACCGTGACGGACCAGAATGACAACAAGCCCCAGTTCACGCAGGAGGTGTTCAGGGGCTCTGTGCTGGAGGGAGCTCTGCCAGGTAGGACCCTGAGCCTTGGGGGAGCTCTGCATCCTGCCAGCCACATCCCTCAGGGACAGCCCTGGGACCGTCCCCCCACACCTCGCTCATCGAGACATCCCTGTCCCCAGGCACCTCTGTGATGCAGGTGACAGCCACAGATGCGGATGATGCAGTGGAAACCTACAATGGTGTCATTGCCTACTCCATCCTGAGCCAGGAGCCACGGGAGCCCCATCCCCAAATGTTCACTGTCAACCGGGGCACCGGCACCCTCAGTGTCATCGCCAGCGGCCTCGACCGGGAGGTGTGTTCTGTGGCACTGCAGGGTGGGGGTCCCAGCCCCAGGCAGGGGACTGACAGGGTGTCTGTCTGTCTCCATCCCCGGCAGCGTGTGCGGGAGTACACACTGACAGTGCAGGCGGCTGACCTGGATGGCGAGGGACTGACCACCACGGCGCTGGCCGTCATTGAGATCGCCGACATCAATGACAATGTCCCTGAGTTCGACCCCAAAACGGTAACGTGGGCCCCCCCACCGGGTGGGACCCTCCCCCCTGCCCTCCAGGCCATGGTGCTGACAATGGCCCTGACCCGCAGTACGAGGCAGCCGTGCCAGAGAACGTGGCCGGGCGGGAGGTGGCCCGGCTGGCTGTCACCGACCTGGATGAGCCTGGCACGCCGGCGTGGAGAGCCATCTACTCCATCCTGCGCGGCAACGACGGCGGTGCCTTTGCCATTGCCACTGACCCTGTCACCAATGAGGGCATCCTCCGCACAGCCAAGGTCTGTGTCACCACTGTGTCACCCCATTGCTACCCACAGTGGGGTCCTGCCTACCCCCCTCTCACTGTCCCTGTCCCCCCCTCTCCCAGGGTCTGGACTACGAGGCAAAGCAGCAGTTCGTGCTCCACGTGACAGTGGCCAACGAGGTCCCCTTCGTCGTGAAGCTGCCGGTGGCCACTGCCACGGTCACGGTCACTGTGGAGGACGTCAATGAGGCACCAGTGTTCGTGCCGCCGGTGCAGCTGGCCACGGTGTCAGAGGATGTGCCGCCAGGGCAGACCCTCACCTCCTGCACAGCCCAGGACCCCGACAAGGCACAGGGGCAGAGGATCAAGTAAGTGGGGACAGGGTCCGAGTCGAGGTATGGGGGATCTCCGCTGCTCCCTGCCACGGCACCAGCTCCCCTGTGCCCTCCCAGGTATCTGGTGGGACATGACCCAGCGGGGTGGCTGGCCGTGCACCCCGACAACGGCCTGGTGACAGCACGGGACCACCTGGACCGCGAGTCCCCCTTCACGAAGAACAGCACTTACATGGCTTTGCTGCTGGCCGTGGATGATGGTGAGGGACATGAAAGGGCCCTTGTTCCCTCTCCCACGTGAGGGGCATGTGCTGCCATTGCTGGGAAACACATCCCAGCCTCCAACATGGAGCAATGCTGCCTGGCCCCACCCCTGCCCGGGGCATCTGTGGCCCCATGAGGATCTTGGGTTTGGGACTTTCCCCTTCAGCATCGCTTTCCACTGTCCCTACCCTTGCCTGGAGTATCCCTGTCCCCGTGAGAATCTTGGTTTTGGGGCTCCCCTCTGTCCCCACCCCTGCTTGGGTTATCCACATTCTTGAGAGAATCCTGATTTTGGGGGTCCTCCCTCCAGCATCACTCTCTTCTGTCCCCACCCCTGCTTGAGGCATCCCCATCCCTGTGAGAATCCTGATTTGGGGTCTGACTGACCCCGGCTCAGTCACCCATGTCCCCATGAGGGTCCTGGTTTTGGGGTCCCCCCTGCAGCATCATCCCCCCTCCAGGCTCACCACCAGCCACGGGCACAGGGACACTGCTCCTCACCCTGCTCGATGTGAATGACAACGGCCCCGAGGCCGAGCCACGGGACATCACTGTGTGCCAGCGCAGCCCCGAGCCCCAGGTCCTCACTGTCACCGACAGGGACCTGCCCCCCAACACCGGCCCCTTCCGTGCTGAGCTCACCCACGGCTCGGGGGACAGCTGGGCTGTGGAGGTGGGTGACACAGGTAACGTGAGGGCTCCAAAGGTAACGTAGGGGGTCCTTGACAGAGGCAGCTGTGCCACATTTGTGCGCCCAGTGAGTCCCCCACAAGCCCCCCTGTCTCCCACAGGTGACACAGTGACTCTGCGGCTGGTGGCAGCACTGGAGCCAGACACCTACAGCGTGTACCTGCGGCTGCTGGACCGGCCGGGCAGGGCCCAGGTGACCGTGGTCACCGCGCGGGTCTGTGCCTGTGAGGGGCCAGCGCAGGGCTGTCCCCAGAGACCCCAGCCCGTCACCGCCCTGCCCTTCGTCCTCGCAGCCCTGGGCGCGCTGCTGGCCCTGCTGCGTGAGTGGGAGTCCCGGGAGTCCTGGGGCTGTGGGGATGTCCCCAGCATTGGGCACAGTGGGCGAAACTCGTCCCTGCTGACACCTCTGCTCCCCCCCAGTCATCCTGCTGCTGCTGCTGCTCTTCGTGAGGAGGAGGAAGGTGACAAAGGAGCCTCTGCTGCTGCCTGAGGATGACACGCGGGACAACATCTTCTACTACGGGGAGGAGGGTGGTGGCGAGGAGGACCAGGTTGGTATGGGGAGTTTGAGGGGCCTGGTGGCGAGGAGGACGAGGTGGGTATGGGGAGTTTGGGGGGCCTGGTGATAGTGAGGGCAGCCTGACCCTGACCCTGTGTGTGTGTGTGTGTCTCCAGGACTACGACTTGCGGCAGCTGCACCGGGGGTTGGACGCCCGTCCCGAGGTGATCCGCAATGACGTGGCCCCCACCCTCCTACCAGCCCCACAGTACCGCCCCCGACCCGCTGACCCTGATGACATCGGCACTTTCATTGAGGAGGTGAGTCTGGAGTTTGGGCCCAGCGAGGTGATACCCACATCTACACCAGCTCAGGGGTGAAAAGCTCTGACTCCTCTGCCCCTCCTAGAACCTGAAGGCAGCCGACACAGACCCCACAGCTCCCCCCTACGACTCGCTGCTGGTGTTCGACTATGAGGGCAGTGGCTCGGAGGCCACCTCGCTCAGCTCCCTCAACTCTTCCAACTCAGACGAAGACCAGGATTATGACTACCTCAACGACTGGGGCGGCCGCTTCCGCAAGCTGGCTGAGCTCTATGGTGGCGGGGAGGAGGAAGATTAGGGACCCCTGCCTTGCTGCCCCCTGCCTTATCGCTGCTTGTGCCTTGGGGATTCCCCCCCCGCCATGCCCTCCCCCCCAGCGCAGCCCCCTCACCTCCTTGCCTGTGTTTTTGTGGTTATTATCTATTTTTTAAGGTATGGAATGACAGCGTGCGATGCTGCAGATGAGGGGATGGCAGCTGGGTCAGTTTTAATAAAGGATTTGGTTTTTTAGACACTCCCAAGTTCTGTGTTACTTTGTGCCCTGGGGGTCAGCGCTGACCCCAGCCCCTCAGTGACCCCCCTAGCCCTGTCCCCCCTTGCCCACCCCAGTGTGGGTCCCACAGCACAGCAGCAGTATCACCTATGCAGGGGCACTGCCCGTTGCCCCCCAGGGTGTCTTTGTCTCTATGGGGTGCTCGTGGGCAGGGGCAGGATGCTGACCCCCCACCCTGTGCTCCAGGGCATTGCTGGTGCCAAATCCCTCCCGCCCTGGCAATCCCCCCTGTGCTAAGGCAGCTGGAGGCCAGCAACCCCCCAGGTTGTCACCCTAGGGTGCCCAAGGGTGCGGGCAGGGGTGGGCATGGCAGCCCCCAGCCCCAGCAGGACCCTCAGCCCTGCGGTTCTCCCACTGGCTCCAGGCTCAGCCACTGGGAGCCATGGGTGGGGGCAGCTGGTGGCATGAGGCATCCCTGAAGCCGTGCTGTGAGGTCAGCCCTGGCCATGCTGTGTCTGGGGCCAGAGAGGTGAAGGAGAGGACAGGGGGCTGCAGCACCCCAAAGGGCCCTTGCTGCATCGGGGATTCCCTGGGTACAATGTTTGCTCACCTGTAGAGCTGGGACCTGTGGGGCCATAGTGTGGGGACACCCTGGGGTGCTCCTGACTCCTGTCATCCACCGACAGCCCCTGCTCCCACAGTCCTGGATGGGCACCCACAGAGAGCCTGGGCTGGGTGCTGAGAGTATTGGGGTTGTGGGGGGTCCGGGGGTACCCAGGTCATGCAGAGCATCAGGGGTACTGGGGATACTGGGGGCTGGTGGGGTACTGCGGGTACCAGGGGCTGAAGCGGTATGAGGAGTACCACGGTACTGGTGAGTGGTAGTACCGTGAAGGGTGTTGGGGGTAGCGGGATCCCGGGGGCGCGAGGGTCCAGGGTCCCAGGACAGGAGTACCGGGTTCCCGCGTACAGGCGGGACGGTACCGCCTCCCATCGGGGCGGGACGGGGCGGTTCCCGGGGGGGACCAGGACCTGCGGGGCGGGATCGGGATCGGTTGGGACCCGACGCACCTGCGGCTCTGCAGCAGCAGCTCCTGATCCCTCCGGCACCCACCGGCACGGCACCGGCACTGGCACCGGCACCGGCACCGGCACCAGCCATGGGGCGGCGGGCGGGCTGCCCAGCCCCGCTCTGCCTCCTCCTCCTCCTCCTCCTGCTCCAGGTGAGCCACGGGATGGGGCGGCAGGACCCTGCCCGGGACTCCGCCAAGACCCTCCCCGGGGTAGTGGGACCCCGCCTGGACCCCTGCCCGATGTTAACGTCTCACTCCGGGCAGAGCGGGCACCGGCTGTGCCAGCGAGCAACGCCATGCCAGCCTGGCTTCACCGCCGAGACCTTCGCCCTGACCGTGCCGCGGGACAGCGTGGCAGCAGGACGGGCCCTGGGACGAGGTAAGGACATGGGGATGTGTGGCTGTGAGGGACAGGGAGGCTGTGGGAATGTGGACAGGACCGTGGGGACGGGGATGGGACCGCGGGGACGGGGACGGGACCGCAGGGACAGGGTGGGTGTGTTGGACAGGAGTGGGCAATGGGGGACACGAAGCTGTGGCTCTGTGCCTGAGTGATTCTTGAGTGAGCATGGGGACATGCTCTGTCCAGTTCCATGGGGACAATGCTGTGGCAGTAGGGATGGTGCCATGGGTGCAGTTCCATGAAGGTGGGGATGGTGCCATGGTGGTGGGGACGGTGCCATGGTGGTGGGGACAGGCTTGCTGTGGTGGCAGGTGACACTGGGGACAGAGCTGTGGTGGTGTGTCCACACACAGAGGTGGGGCTGCAATGAGGCCACCAGTGGTCCCAATATGGGCACTGGTGGTCCTGCAGGATGGGACGGCATTGTGGCACAGGGGCAGTGGGTGCCGCTCCCCGGGGTGCGCCGGCGTAGGCGGCGCTGACTCAGGCGCCGGAGACCTGTTGGGGCCGGCAGATTGGGGTGTGGGTGCACAGGCGCCCATCCTGCCCCACGCCTCACCTGGCACCCGGAGTTCACCGGGGCAAACTCCCCTTTGGCCCCCCAGTGCAGCCCCCAGGGCGGCTCTTGGCAGGGGATGGGCACTGGGACGGGCACTGGGTTAGGCTTCTCAGGTTTTGGGGACATTGGTGTCCCACTGTGCTGGCACCAAAGCCCTGCCCAGTGTGGCGGGGGCACTGGGGAGAGGTGCACCCAGAGAAGCAAGTACTGGGGGCCTGCTGCCACTTTGGGATCCCCAAAAGGAGCTCTGTGGGTACTGGGGCTGCACAGCAGTTGGGCCGTCACCATCTGCGCCAGTTCATGGCTGACGGTGGTGTGCCAGGGTGGTTGAGGTGGGCACAGAGCTGAAGGGTACTGAGCACCCAGCAGTGTGCCAGGGGGTCCCAAACACCCTTGGTTCCAGAAAGGCTTTGCCTGGGCGAGCCAGGAGCCAAACCCTGCCCCACACCCCAGGAATTGCATTTGTTGGCTTTGTGGTTGATCATTAACAGAGCCACCTGCGCAGAAACCGATGTCCATCGGGGCTGTGCCTGATACCAGGGTGACGGGGCAGCCCTGTGGCACAGAGACTTCCTGGAAATCCCATGTTCTTGCACCAGCACTCTCAGTTCTCGTTCCCGGCACAGACAGGGTGTAGGAGGAAGGAAACGGCCGTCTGCCCGTGGGGGCTGTGTGTCACCCAGTGATTCCTGGCTGTGCCACGGCGATGCCAGCCATGGGGTGGCCAAGTCTGGTGGGTGTCAGGCCATGCCGTGCTACACAGCAGCTCAAAGCCCTCAGCCAGGCTGAGGAGCCGGCCTGTAATTAGCCTGATGAGTTGAGCGCGGTGTTTTCCCTCCAACAGGTCCAGACAGGCCCCGTGCGGCGCCGGGGTGGCGAAACACCTGTGCGGGGGCTGCGGCCTCCCCGGGGCTCTGCTCCGTGGGTCTGGGGGCTCAGGTGTGGTGGGGACGTGGTGGGGGCTGGGATGGTCCCCGTCAACCCTGGGTGGGGAAACCTCGAGAGTCTGAAGTCACAGCGAAACTAGGGTGACGTCAGTCATGGGACGTGCCACCCGCAGCACTTTCACCCCAGGGTGAGCCCCCCCGCCCTGGCACTGCTGGGGTGTTGGCACCACTAGTGGTGGCATTGCAGGAGTGATGGCACCTGGCTTTGCCCATGTTCAGACCCCATGGGATGTGGGGTGGCTTTGGGGGGCTACCCTGGTCCCCTGTGTGGGATCTCAGGTCCACACCCTGTTTGGCAGCCTAGTCATGCCAGAGTCTGGTTGTCCCAGCGCCCTGTGGGGGAGCGGGGGGAAACAGATGGAAAGTGGAGGGGATCCCACTGTGGGACCCTCTGAGGTCTCCCCTTCTCCCACCCCATCTTTCCCAGAGAGGAGAGAGGCCCCCGGGCTCCCAGCCTCAGGGAAGGGAGGGCTGAGGACGGCTGGGGACGGCTCTCCTTCAGCCAAACTGGAAAAACAGGTTGTGCATGGCCAGGTGGGAAGGGAGGGAGCAGGAGAGGGGGGAGCGGGAAAGGGGGAGCAGGTACTGAGCACCCAACACTCGTTGAATCCAGTGGGGGCCGAGCACTCATTACACCCAGTGTGGGGCTGGGGGCCTCACGCTGCCCCTCGCTGCACCCACCCAACACCGTGCCAGGGCCCAGAGCCAGGCATTGTGCCTGTGCCCGTGGGTGCTGAGTGCCTCCTATTCCCCGCTACGGCAGCACCTGGCCTGTCCTGGCACGTTCCTGCCCAGCCGGCCCCACCGGCTCCCCCCACCCCCAGCCCTGGCCGGGGGTCTTGCCGTGGGGCTGAGCAGGGCTGGCATCACACCTGCAGGTTCCCATGGGCTGGGGCAGGGGCACCGTGGTGGGCAGGGGGGCAGCTATCACTCCCCCTCCATTCCACAGCCACCCCCGAATTCCTGAGCTGCACATGGGCTGATGTCACCCCCACTGGTGCCTTCCACCCTGGGCACATCCCCTTCCCGCGGCGGGTCATGCTGGGGGATGGCAGCCGCGCTGGCTGCGGGAGCCGCTGGCTCTAACAACCCTCTCCAGACAAAGGGTGTTTGTTCAGGAGCTGCGGCCGCGCGGCACCGGTTCATGTGATGCCGGCTGACCACCTCTGCCTGCTGGCCTGGCTTGTGCCACACCCAGTGTGGTGCCAAGCCAGTGACATTGGGACCTTGCCTGCCCCGGTGTATGGCAGGTGCCCCCTGTGCCTGGGGTTGGGGGTCCCAGAGGGTACCTGGGCAGGCTGGGTGCACCAAATGCCAGAGGTGCCCTGGGGGTAGCACCTTCTTGCTCGGAGGTTGATGTCCCAATCCCACAGCATGACACATCCTGGGCTGTCTCTGCTGCAGATGTGTGGTCATAGTCCCCAGCCACATGACCTTCATAGGTCACTGTATCCCACCTGCAGTGCCTGGGCTGCTGGGACACTGGGTACCAGCATAGGTGAGCAACTGTGCCCTTGGTTTTATCAGAAAAGCAGCCAGAGCAGTGGCACCCTCTGCCTCAGGCATGGTGGTGGTGACACGCCACACCCGGAGACATGCTGTGCCACAGGGTACACCTGCATGGGGGTGTGCCACATGCCATATGTGGGGATGTGCCATGTGTGGTGCCGTGCCGTACACGGTGCTGGGCACAGGGACATGCTGTGCCAAGTGCCACTTGCCCTATTGTCACTGTCTGGCTGGGATCCTATGGCACTGCTGGTCGTGCAGTGCCCAGTCCTGGACCAAAGCAAGGGCAGGGATGCACCATGTGCCATGCCCAGGACAGGATCCTGGCAGGCTGTGTGTGGAGCATCCCTGCTGCCCCCTGTGACCCCACGGTCCCCCCTGGGCCCCTGAGCTGTGGCCACGCCGTGTGTGCCCATGTCCCCGGGACACCCTGCCCACCTGCTGTCCTGTCCCCAGTGAGCTTTGCGGACTGTGGAGAGCCGCACTGGGCCGCTTTCCTCCCGGATGACTCGCGCTTCAAGGTGAGCCGGGATGGCGTTGTTTCTGCGGCCCGGCCCCTGCAGCTCCAGCGGCGGGAGATCACCTTCACCGTGCACACGTGGGACACCGCAGGCAAGAGGCACTCAGCCAAGGTGACCCTGCGCCGGCAGTGGCACCAGCACCACCGACACCACAACCAGATGCAGCAGGTAAAGCACAGACCCACTCGTTGGGGTCACGGCAGCTCCTCTCCCAGGTGCAGAGGGCTCAGCAAGGTGCTGGCACTGAGCAGAGCCATTCTCCCTGCAGGACACAGCACCTGACGTGCTGACCTTCCCGGAGCACAGACACGGCCTCCGGCGGCAGAAGAGGGACTGGGTCATTCCCCCTATCAACTGCCCCGAAAACGAGCGGGGGCCCTTCCCCAAGAAGCTGGTGCAGGTACATGGCCCTGAGGGGACAGGGTGTGGGAATGGGAGAGCACCAGAACCCTTCTCAACCCCATCTTCTCATCTCACTGCCAGATCAAATCCAACAAGGACAAGGAGACCAAGGTTTTCTACAGCATCACAGGGCAGGGAGCGGACACCATCCCTGTGGGCGTCTTCATCATTGAGCGGGAGACAGGGTGGCTGGAGGTGACGAAGCCTCTGGACCGGGAGGAGAAGGATAAGTACATAGTGAGTGAGTGGGGACCTGCAGCGGGGGGGACAGTCCTGGGGGCTGCATGCAGGCTGACTGTGTTCTTGCAGCTCTACTCCCATGCTGTGTCAGCCAATGGGCAGCCTGTGGAAGACCCCATGGAGATCATCATCACCGTCACTGACCAGAATGACAACCGACCCGTCTTTACCCAGCAAGTCTTTGTTGGCTACATCGAGGAGAACGCCAAGCCGGGTGCGTAGGGGACTCTGAGCTGGGACCACACAGAGCCCCGAGCAGGGGCAGTTTCAGGGTGTCCAGTGGGTTCTGTCCCATGAGTAAAATCTCCCCGGCTTGTCCCGATGTCCAGGCACATCCGTGATGACTGTGAGTGCCACGGATGCAGATGATGCGGTCAACGTGAACAACGGCATTATCAGCTACTCCATCCTCAGCGAGGAGCCCAAGGGCATGCAGGAGATGTTCACCATCAACCCTGAGAAGGGCATCATCAGCGTCATCGGCACAGGGCTGGACCGGGAGGTGGGTGCCCTCGCCATGTCCCAGGGGAACCTGCAGCACCTCTGCAGAGGGACATGCCAAGGGGAGACTGGGGATGTTGAAATCCTGGAGTGCGTCCAGTTCAGGGACTTGACATCCCTGGGTCACCATCCCCAGCTCTGGGGATATCTGCAGCCCTGAGCCCATCGGGGGCTGTGCTAGGGACACTGCATGGACCCCCGGCACTGCTGAGCCATGGAGTGGGTGCAGTGCCATCACAGGGACTCCCAGTCCTGCTAAGCCCCAGGAGCAGGCACATGCCAGCCCCTCGGATGGGCAGTGGGGATGTCAACTGCATCTGTGCCAACAGGGAACAGTGAAGCCAAAGAAGGGTGGAGGTGCAGGCAGGCAATACCCGGAGGAGGGGATCATCCTGGCCCCCACCCCTGCCCTAACCTGTGTGATTTTGCCCTGCAGACCACTCCCAACTACACACTGATCATCCAGGCTGCAGACCAGGAGGGCTTTGGCCTGACCAACACTGCCACTGCCATCATCAAAGTCACTGACACCAATGACAACCCTCCTGTCTTCGACCCTGACATGGTACCCCCCGGCCCCACAGCTGCTGCTCTCCCTGGGCATTGTGGCACAAGCCCCCACACAGGGTGCTAGAGGCCACAGTGGTGACCATCACTGTCCCTGCTCTTGCAGTATGAGGGGTCAGTGGATGAGAATGACCCTGGGGTGGTGGTGGCTCAGCTGCACGTGACGGACCAAGACATGCCGGGCTCCCCGGCCTGGAAGGCCGTCTACCGCATCCAGAGTGGGGACCCGATGGGTGACTTCAACATCACCACTGACCCCAAAACCAATGATGGGCTCCTGAAAACCGCCAAGGTGGGTACCAGTCTCACGCGGCCACCTCAGCACCAGCCACCTCCCTTCTGGCACCACCCAGCTCCTTTCCCTCCCCCAGGGCCTGGATTATGAGACCCAGCAGCAGTACCACCTTGTGGTGGTGGTGGAGAATGAGGTCCCCTTCTCCGTGCCCCTGAGGCCTGCCACAGCCAGTGTCCTGGTGACAGTCAGGGATGTGAACGAGCCCCCCATCTTCGTGCCCCCGGTCAAGAAAGTGGAAGTGATGGAGGATGTGCCAGTGGGCTACCAGGTCACCTCCTACACAGCCAAGGACCCTGACAAGGACCAGAGGCAGAAAATCACGTGAGTGAAGGGTGACAGTGGCAGAGGGCTGTGCTGGGGTGCATGAGGCGTTGTGCTGCATTGGGTGTGCCTTCATCTCCCCCTGCTGACCACTGGCTCCCCCCAGGTACCGCATGGGCAGCGACCCCGCGGGGTGGTTGACCATTGACCCCGAGAATGGCATTGTCACAGCGGCACAGCCACTGGACCGGGAGTCAGCGCATGCCATCAACAGCACCTACAAGGCCATCGTCCTGGCCATGGACAGCGGTGAGGGTGACGGCCGCGCCCTGGGGAGGGGGCTGCTGCACCTCTATCCCCCCGCGGCTCCTGGGGCCCCTCCCCGGGTGCCTCACTGACTCTCAGCCCCACAGGGTCACCACAGGAGACTGGCACAGGGACACTGCTCCTCCTCCTCCAGGATGTGAATGACAATGGGCCTGTGCCAGAGCCCCGGAACTTTGACATCTGCAACCGGCAGCCTGAGGAGCAGATACTGAACATCATTGACAAGGATCTGCCCCCCAACACCTTTCCTTTCAGGGCAGAGCTGGTCCACGGCTCCAGCATCAACTGGACTCTCAAGGTGACTCCACCAGGTGGGTGCCATCTGTGCTGGTGCAGGGCCCATAGTGGGCATTAGGCTGGGGAAGTGCCACGGGGCAAAGTCCTGTGCTGGTGCCAAGGTTGTCCCTAAACCAGAGCTGGGGGAGGGTCTGGAGCACCAGGAGTGGTTGAGGGAGCTGGGGGGGCTCAGCCTGGAGAAAAGGGGTTTAGGGGGAACCTTCTTGCTCTCTCCAACTACCTGACATGAGGGTGGAGCCAGGTGGAGGTCAGGCTCTGAACCTCGGGAACAAGTACCAGGAAAGAGGGAGCGGCCTCAAATTGTGCCAGGGGAGGTTTAGGTTGAATACTGGGGAAAATTCATTCATGGAAAGGGTTGTCAGGCACTGGAACAGGCTGCCCAGGGCAGTAATGGAGCCATCATCCCTGTCTCTGGGGGATCTAAAATCCATGTAGATGTGGTACTTGGGGACATTGGTTAGTGGTGGCCTTGCCAGTTCTGGGGGAACAGTTGTACTCAATAATCTTGTGGAGGCATTTTCCAACCCAAACAATTCCGTGATTCACCAAGACCTGGTGAAGCTGAACATGAGGAAGGAGCTGGAGCCAGGGGAGTACAGCGTCTTCCTGAAGCTGCTGGACGCCCAGGGCAAGGATCAGATCACGCCGGTCAAAGCACAGGTCTGCAGCTGCGAAGGGCCAGCCAAAAACTGCGAGCGCCGAGCATATGTCTCCGGGGGCATGGGTGTCCCCGCCATCCTGGGCATCCTGGGGGGCATCCTGGCGCTGCTCAGTGAGTACCATGGGAGGGGGACAGACAGGACAGGGACAGGGCTGCCCTTAACCCACTGCCCTGATACCCTCTCCCTCTGCCCACAGTCCTGCTGCTGCTGCTGCTACTTTTTGCGAGGAGGAGAAAGGTGGTGAAGGAGCCACTGCTGCCTCCCGAGGATGATATGAGGGACAATGTCTACCACTACGACGAGGAGGGTGGCGGCGAGGAGGACCAGGTGGGATGGCTGTGCCTACCAGCCCCTGCCTGCTGGGTCCCAGTGGTGGTGTCTGTGGTTGTCCCTTGAGCCTTGTCTCCTCGTGTCCCCCCAGGACTACGACCTGAGCCAACTGCACCGCGGGTTGGATGCCCGTCCTGAGGTGATCCGCAATGATGTGGCCCCCCCACTGATGGCTGCCCCCCAGTACCGGCCCCGGCCTGCCAACCCTGATGAGATCGGGAACTTCATCGATGAGGTGAGTCCTGAACGAGAGAGTCCAGGAGGTGACACCTCTATCCATCCCAGCACAATTGGGGTGCCCCCAGTGCAGGCACTGACCCCTCCACCCCCCAACAGAACCTGAAGGCGGCCGACACAGACCCCACAGCTCCCCCCTACGACTCGCTGCTGGTGTTCGACTATGAGGGCAGTGGCTCGGAGGCCACCTCGCTCAGCTCCCTCAACTCTTCCAACTCCGACGAAGACCAGGACTATGACTACCTCAACGACTGGGGCGGCCGCTTCCGCAAGCTGGCTGAGCTCTACGGCGGTGGGGAGGAGGAAGATTAGGGACTCCCAGCTGCCCCCGCCTCATTTCACCCCTCTGGACTCACTTTGGTCTCTGCCCAGGGGTGGCCAAACCCCCCTCCAACACCCGCTCAACCCAGTGCCCGCGTCCCCCTTGCTGAGGGAGGATCGGTGTCACCGGGGATGGCGGGGTTTTTGGGGAGTCTGCATGTTTCCTGGCCCCCTTGGCTCAGTTTGGGCCACTTCCCACCCTGGAGCTGAGGTGCTCCCAGCTGAGGAGGTCAGGATCAGCTCCTCCCTCACTTTTCTATGGACAAAAAGGGTTTCTCTGGCAGTCTTCAAAATACCTCGTGCTCCCAGCCCCACACAGCTGCTCTCCCACCGCGCTCCAATCATGAACCCGGCGCTGGAGCAGTGGGGTGAGGTGCTCGATCGACACAGACCAAAGATACACCCTCGCAGGGAATTGTATTTGCTGGAGTATGTACAGGCACATTTCTATTTTTCCGTATCCCAGATTATGGCTTGATTTCCTCCTGTATCATGCCAGGTGTAATTAGTGTGCAGTCAATGAAAGGTGCTTTCGGAAATCAAAGGGCTTTCCCGAAATCCTGACCCTTGTGTTTAGCTGTTGTTTGTATTTTTTTATCATGAAAAAAGGGTCTGATGTGAGCTGGGAAACCAGCCTTGGCCAAGTGTTGATTGTATTGTTTTTATATAAAATTGAAATAATAAATTCTTTTAGGAAAACCTCTCTGCGTGAGGCTCTGTTGGTGCTAAAAGGCTTTACCTCCCCCACAGTTGTAGCCATGGCCCCCTCCAAAAGGCAGGTGGGAAATTAGTCATGAAACAGTTTGGGTTGGGAGGGACCTTAAAGATCATATTCCAAATTCCCTGCCATGGGCAGGGACACCTTCCACTAGATGAGGTTGCTCCAAGCCCCGTCCAACCTGGCTGTGATGGCCACAGATGGGGCGACCACAGCTTCTCTGAGCAATCTGTGCCAGGGCCTCACCACCCTCACAGCCAAGAATTCCTTCTCAGTATCCCATCCAACCCTGCCCTCTGTCAGTGGGAAGGAATTCCCATTGTCCTGTCACTCCCCCCCTTGTCCCAAATCCCTCTCCAGCTCTCCCGGAGCCCCTTTAGGCACTGGGATCGGCCCCACCCTTTCCCCGACCTCCCCAAGATGGTGGCGGGCGGTGCGGCCCCGCCCCTCGCTCGACCTTCCCAATATGGCGCCAGAGTGCGGTCCCGCCCCTTCCCTTTACCCCCAAGATGGCGTCTACCGCTGACAGCGACCCCAACATGGCGGGCGGCGCAGACCCGGAGCCGGAGCCGGGGCGCGTAGTGGAGGCGCTGGAGTTGCTGCTGCGGTCGCCCAGTGACCGGGACAGCGCTGCCGAGGCTGCCCAGGAGCCCACCCTGTGCCCGGAGACGCTGCGCAAGAACGCGGCGGCGCTGGAGGAGCGGCTGTCGCGGGCGGCGGGCTGGGCCTCGCTGAGTTCCCTACGGGCGGCCGTGCTGTCCCGCAACCCCGCGCTGGCGGCTGGGGCGGCGGGCGCGGAGCCGGGCTGGGCGGCGGCCTGCGGGCTGCTGGTACTGCTGCTGTGCCTCAAGGAGCGCCTGGCCGCGCTCGCCGCCGCCCCTGCCGCCGCCGCAGCCCCCGGCGCGCCGCCTCCGCCCGCCGCCGACACGCTGAGCGCGGGGCAGACGCGGGCGGTGCAGCGGGCGCTGCGGGCCGCCGTGGGGCTGGGGCTGCTGCCGCACCTGCCGCCGGGGCTCGGGCCGTGCCCCGGGCCACCCTCGCCACCGCCCGGCCCCCGCGGGGCCCGCCTGCTCGCTGCCGCCGCCGCCCTGGCCGAACTGGCCCGGCTGCCCGCGCTGGGCGCCCCGCTACTCGCCCGCCACCTCCGCCTGCTGCTCGCCGGGCTCTGCGTGCTGGGACACGGCCCCGCCGCCCTCTGCCAGGTCCGTGCGACACTCGCCCCCTCGTGTCCCCGCTCTCCCGGGGCTGGCGTGGGTGCCCAGCCGAGCCCCAGCCCGTTCCCCGGGGCCGAGCCCCGGGCTGGTTGCCCAGCGCTCCCTCCCATGTCTTGCCCGTAATTCCCCACGTGAAAGAAGCTACAGGGGCTATGGAGCCCCAGAAGGGGCTAGAGGGCACCGGATCAGCCGGTGGGTTTAGTGCCCAGCCAGGCTGCCCTCACCACCCCGGAGTGTTTTGTTGCAGGGTGTTTCGGAAGCGGAGCGGGCGCGGTGCCGGGAAGCCCTGCAGGACATCCTGGACCGTGTTTACCAGCCGCTGGCAGTGCAGGAACTCCTCGTCCTGCAAGGTCCGCCCAAGCAGGTACCCAGCGGTTGAGGGGCATCAGGCTGTGTAGTACCTGTGTTCCCACAGTCCGAGGGTGCTGCTCTCCTAGAAATGTTCTTACACTTTAGAAACCAGTCCTGGAGCACTGATGAAGCTGCCAGGTGTGTGTCATTCCAGCCCTGCCATGCAGGGGTGCGTAGGTGGGTGTGAACCCAGGGACTGTCATCACGGCACGTTCCACCTTGGCTTTGCACCCATATCCACTGTGCCCGGCCAAGTGGAGCTCCTGCTCCTCCAGAACCTGTCCCTTCCCACTCATGGGGTGACACAGGGCACTCGCTGCTGTTTGGGGCCATTCCAAAGCCTTGTGAGGAGGAGGAGATGGGAAATCTCCTGAGAGTTGTTTTTGGAAAGTCTCTAAGGGATAATAATAGAATCCTGGAATGGTTTGGGTTGGAAGGGACCTTAAAGCTTATCCCATTCCAACTAGACACCTTCCCCTAGACCAGGTTGCTCCAAACCCCATCCCACCTGGCCTTGAACACTGCCAGGGATGGAATAACATGCTGAGCACTTGAGGACTGACCAAAAGTTAAGGAATGTTGGTTTGATGGTACTTGTAGGTCCCTTCCAGCTGGCCTGTCATTAATTCCTAATTTGCTTTGTGCCACTGGCTGAAGCAGCAGTTCAAAGCCTGTCCGTGTCCTGTGCTCTCTGGCAGGACACAGGCTGTTTGCCCATCCATGGGATTTGCACAAGAGTGTGCAAATACACTCCTTACCCTGCTCCTGTGTTCCTTTCCAGAGTGCTCCATGTCCCCGGGCAGGCCTGGGGCCAGCTCCAGCCTGGCTGCGGCGGCTCTGTGGGCACCTGCTCTCTGAGAGGCTGCTCAGGCCCAACGGGGTGCAGGCCGTGGTTCGGGGTGTCTTGGAGGGCACAGGAGGTGAGTGGGGGCTCTGGGCATCCAGGATCACAGATTCAGAGGTGTCTGGAATGGTTCATCCCACAAGAGGCCCAGCAGGGCAGAGCCACCAGAGTACGGACGTGGCAATCAGCTTTTGCCAGGCCAAGATGACTCGGTGACACACAGATTTTGCCTCTAACTGTGGTGAGCTCCCAAACTGCCCTAATTTAGGGTACACTGTCATTTTTGAGGCCTACACTGAAAACCTCCAACACCATTTAGCTGTTTATGCCTCCATGGGGTCACGCCTCTTGTGTGTCCAGAGTGTGGTCTGTCCCAAGGAGTGCCCTGTCCCAGTGCCAGTGCAGTGGGAGCCATGCTGGACTCTGGGCTGGGAGAGCTGCAGGGACAATGAGACCCATCCCCTGCTTTCCGTGTCCTGGCAGGGAGGGAAACTGTTGCTATCCAGAAATGAATCCCACAGATATTAGTGCCAAAGCCTCCTCTAGCCAACACCAACCTGATGGCACTTCCAAGCATAACCCCCCTCCACCTTTTGTCCACCTGTCTGTAGGAGTTGTTTTCCATTATCAAAGTTCTTGCACAGGAATTTTTCCCCTTCTGTCTTTAAGTTCAGGTGTCTCCTGAAAGATGGTTGGTTTAATGACAGCAATAAAAGCTCAAAATCCAATTTTTGGCCAGGAACACCTGGCTTCAACCAGAGCTGGCTGCTGGTCAGAGCTGATCCTGGGTTTCTGCTGCTGCAGGTGGTGCTGGCGCTGAAGCAGCAGCTCTAGACTGGAGGAAATGTGATGCAGTTGCAAAGATCCTGGCTTCCTGCCCACAGCAGTGCCTCTCCCTTGAGGACTACTACAGACAGGTGTGCCCCCAGGTAAGTCCCTCGTCCCTTCTGCCTGGGAATGCAGAGCCAACTCCAGCTTGGAGGGTGTTGGGACTGCCCTTTCTGCTCGAGCGTGGCCTGGCTTGAGACAGCATAACGTGGAGATGTTTTTCTGGCAGTGGGACACATTTCCACTCTTGAATTTTCCATGTTTTATTGAAATACTGGATGATGTTGATTGTACGAGCTGCTCGACACTGCACTACACAGAGCTCTGTGTGGAGCTCTTGTTTCCAGCCTTTGGCTCTGGGAGTGGTGCAGGCTCTTGGTTTGAGCCCAGAAAAGCGTTCTGTGTGTGTGGAAAGGACGCTGGCTCTTCCATACTTGGAATGTCATGCCAGATGACCAGCAAAGGAGCACATGGACAGGTCCTTGTTCGCTGCCAGGAGCCAGGCTGCCCCCTCTGAGGGCGTGCTGATCCTTTTTCCTTTGTCATGGACTTTCCTTGCAGATTCTGGACTTACTGCACATCCAGGACAAAGTGGCAGCACGGCAGTTCCAGCGTGTGGCCACCACCACAGTGCTCACCATGGCCAGGGAGCACCCACAGCTGGCAGAGAGGCACCTGCTCCAGCCGCTGCTGTCCCCGCTCCTGCGGTGCTCTGAGGCAGCAGGTACCACATCTGGGAACGGTCTGGTTTCTTTCCTCACTGATTTTTGTCATTCCATCGGAATTTCTTTGGGCTACAGACCATGTGAGCTCAGCTGTCCGTGCTGGCCACGTCTGTCTGTGTGGTTACATCATATTTACTGCCACTTGAGCCAAGTTACTCCAGCGTGGGAGCCGAGTGCTGTGGCTCCTGCCATGGGTTCCTTGGGAAGCTCTCCCAGTCTGACACCCTTGGTTTGGGCTTCCAGACGGAAGCCATAGGTTCCCCACCCAACCAGCAGCTCTCCAGGGAATCATTCATCGTTGTGAATTGTGGTCTGCCTTGATTTCTATGTGTCCTTAGGGGTTTGCAGCACAATTAGGACAGCTAACGAGGGCTCCTCTGTTCCCATGGGGAGGGGAGAGAAGGGAAGGGAGCCATGGAAGTGTTTTCGGGTGCAGGGTATGGCAGGGCTGCTCTGCTGCTGGGCGCTCTGGGGTGCTTTAGGGTGCTGATGTCTCTGCCCTTTGCTTCCAGAGCTGGCAGTGGAGGATTTGGCAGCAGGGACCATGCTGGTGCCAGAGGCAGAGCTGGGTAGCTGCGTAGAAGATGTGCTCAAGGTACCATGTCTGATCTGGGGGAGAAAACTCTGAGAAAGAGCTGGTGTGAGACTTTCTGAGCAGTTCAGTGTGTGTTGGATCAGACAGACCCAGCATCTCCTGCAGTCATGCCAGACTCACCTCATCCTCATTTTCAGGAGTACCCTGGCCTCCATGTGGGCTGTGCCAGGGCCTCATCACCATCACAGGGTAGAATTCCTTCCCAATATCCCATCTAACCCTGCCTTGTGGCAGGGAGAAGCCATTCACCCTTGTCCTCTTGCTCCAGGCCCTTGTCTAAATTCCTACTCCAGCTGTCTTGGAGCCCCTTTAGGCACTGGAAGGGTCTTTTAAGTTCTCACTGGAGCACAGATCTTGGCTTTCGTGTTTGGGGGAGAGATGGGGTCCATCCTTGTGTTCCCTATGAAGGATCAGGGTTTTTTCT